CACAGCACAGCAAACATCCAGAAACTTAGCTGCCCGGGCTTACATTTTTGCTCTCACCTGTGGCTTTGTTGTTTAACTGATAGCTGCAGTCCTTATTAGGGTTCCTAGCCCATCAAATTTCTACCTGTCAAGCCCAAAGAGTAAATTATACTTATTTTTATTTTATCCTCAGGACTAATTTTTCATCGGTATAGCAACTTTTCAACAAATTAACAGTCTCTGGAGGAGATATCAGTCACCTGCTAACCAAGGCCATCATGGGGGAATAAACTATCAATCTGCTTGCACAAACCCCCTGGTGGGATGTTGTAACTGGAGGGCAGGTTAGATAACAAAATAGTTCATAGGATACCCAGTGGTGCCCATGACATCAGGACAAGCCCACAGGCATCAAGACACAGCCACGGGCTTCTGACTCACACACCTGCAAAAGGACATCAGGGCAGGCACAGAGCCCAAGAACACACAAGGCCACTCTCCACAATGAAGTCAAGAACCATCCCCATCTACCTGGCATAGAATGATCTGATCTGTGCTCTTCAGACAGCACAGGCATGACCCTTAAGCAGGGCCAGCCTGAACCAGGAATGGGGACTTCATGAATTCCCGACCACTGAGGCTTCCCCAGATCCTGAGCTGGTATGTCACCACCCATCCTTTCTTCCTGTGGCTCTGGAAGCCAGAGGGGTTGTGGCTCTGCAGATGAGGCCCAGGGAGGGAAGCACTGTGAGATCTGCAGCAGAACCCAATCCCAATGCTCTGGGGAGCCAGGAGGGCGGGGGACAGGCAATCTGTTTATTGGGGGACTGAACAGCAGGCTCACACCTAGAGCACTGTGCTACCCAGCCTCCAGATGGACACTGCAGGCATTACCGACGTGAGCCAGAACCGGGAAGTACAGCTAGTGCCAGGGCCCTCCCACCCTCTCCCCTCCTCCCAGCTCCCTGGAGGCACATGGGGGCTTTCAGGATAGAAAACAAAGGAGGCCCAGAAAACAAGACAGGCAGCTTTAAGCTACTGAAGGGAGCAAAGAGGGGAAACATGGCCTCATTCCCCAAACTATGAAAGCAGGAAGGAGTCCCAAGGGGTGAAGACAGGCTAGAGGGGAGCTTGGGCTAGGAGCAGACACAGGATCAGGAAGGACCTGGAGGCTGGACCACCCCTGACAGGTCCACGAGGAACTGCCACAGTCTGAGGGCTACTCTGGCCTAGAGAGGGGCGTGTCAGGTCACACCACCCAGGCTCCTCAGTGCCCACGGCCAGAGGGCAGCACCACGCTCAGGAATGGGGAGATCCCAGCCTTCCCTCCCTGCTGACGGCTGCCCCCAACTCAGCAGGCAACACAGACACCTGAAGATGGACCCTGCCTTACCAGCACTGCAGCAGCTCACGTCACTTACAGGGCCCCGCACAAGGACATCGGCCAAGGGGCTGCCTCTGTTGGCACCTCTGCCCTCCCTCCACGTTGTGGGCTGCAGTCCAGCACATTCGCCTGTCCCTTCCTCTGGAGGCCCCATCCTCTCTGTGTCCATGATGTGCTTCCTCGCCTGGACTCCTCCTATCCACCATCTCCTCCTCACCAGACCCTACTCATCCCTCAAGTCTCAGGCTAGAAATCTCTTCCAGACTCCCCTAGTCTGGGCAGGTTACTCCTCCCTCTGCTCTCCCACAGCATCATGTGTTTTCACTGTCATTGCCTAGATTCTGGGGAGTCCACGAGGCAGGACCCTCCTTTAGCTTTTCCCCTCCTCTCTCCCCAGGCCCTAGCACCAACACTGGCCTGTAGGTGCTCCATAAATACATAGTGAAACAAACTGGACTGGGGAGGGCTGATGGCTTAGCTACCCACCCTATGGAACACCCCATCAGGTATTAGTGTGTCATGTGGCAGCACAGGGCCTCAGCTTGGGCTTTGTACCTAAAGGTGCTAGAAGGCAGGGGCAGTGTCTCACAGAGTCACCAACGAAACAGAAGAGAAGACAACAGCAGAGGAGGGACAGCAACATGTTTTGGATGGAGAATGAGTAGAGTTTTAGTAACTGATCCAGCAGAGAGGAGGAACCCTCCCCTCAATGCCCGCAGAAGGCACACTTAAGAAGCTGGGCCATGGGACTTCCCTGGTGGTCCAGTGGTTAAGACTTTACGTTCCAATGCAGGGGATGGCGGGTTTGATCCCTGGTCGGGGAGCTAAGGTCCCACATGCCTCGCGGCCAAAAAACCAAAACATAAAAACAGACGCAATATTATAACAAATTCAATAAAGACTTTAAAAATGGTCCACATCAAAAAAAAAAAAAAATCTTAAAATAAAAAGAAGCCAGGCCACTACCCCCAGGGCACCAGCAAAGTTCAGGACTTGGAGGGACCAAGCACCCCAGGAACAAAGAGTTAATCATAGGGCTAAACACAGGGATTTGGTTGAAAATCTGTATTCAAAGCAGTAGAACCCCTCGGCTTTCCCCACACAGCTAGGTGACTCTTACCACCCTCACCTGTATCCCCCAGACAATGGAAGTTTATCAACCTTCTGGAGAAACTGAATTCAAGTGACTCCAGACTTGGGAACACTAGCCCAGTGGAGAGCGGGAGCAGGTGAGGCTAAAAGCAGGGAAATTAATGAAAATCTGCAAAGTGAATATTGGGACTCCAGCCTCCTTCCCCTACTTGGCTTCCAGAATGCAGACCAATGAGAAGATACTGTATTTACAAAACAGGAAGAGGATCCTGTTAAAAAGAACCAAGAAAAGAAACAATCAAATAGCTCTCAGAAATTAAAATTATACTAGCTGAAGTTAGAAATTCAATAGACATGTTGAATATAAACTCAAGGAAATTTCCTGTAACGCCAAGCAGAGGGACAAAGTGAAGGAATAGGAGAGAAAAAAAGGATAAGAAAATCAGAGTGTTAATCTAAGATGTTGAATATTTGACTAATAGGAATTCCAGAATGAAAAGAAATTATCAAAGAAACAGTATAAGAAAAGTTGCCAGAACTGAGAGATGGGAGTCTTCAGATTGAAAGAGGTCACCAGGAACCCAAAATAATGAATTTTAAAAGAGATGGCATTGTGGAATTTTAGAAATAAACTGTATAGATAAAGAGAAGATCCTAAACATTCCCAAAGAGAGAAAACAGGTCACTTGCAAAGAATCAGGAATAAAATAGCATTGGCTTTTTCAACAGCTAGACCCGAAGCCAGAAGAGCAATGTCTTCAAAATTCTGAAGGAAAATGATTATCAACCTAAAAATTGGAATTTTCTCCTCAGCCAAACTGTCAGTTAAAGCTGAGTGCAGAATTACAATTACAAATTACCTTTTTTTCAGATCTAAAAGGATTCAAAATTTTCTTCCCATTTGCCTTTTTTTCAGGAAGCCACCAGAAGAGGTGTTCCACCAAAATGAAGGTGTATACCAAGAGGAAGGCCTGGAGGGACGTGGTCTCCAGAAATGAAAGTTTCAGAGAAAAATAATGGAACTGAAGGACAGGAGTCTTCAGATTGAAAGGAGGCACTGAAAATATCAAAAGGCTGCTACAGGGTGCAGTAAGAATTTGAGATGGTACAAGGAAAACTATGTTAATGAGAAAAAATGAGGCAATTATTAAATCCAGGTAAAACATAAAGTCGAAAAGGAGAGGAAACATAATCATGTACAACAAAGTTGTAATATTATTCATATAAGTGTAATAATGTGAATACTGAATATCCATAAACCCCAAAACTATGATAACTATTTGGGGAGGGTGATGAGGGTAGGGGAGAGAAATGTGTTTATGGGAGTGAATAATAAGAGAGCTGAATCCTCAACTACCGTAATAGATAATACAAAAGAACTAGTTGAGAAATAGCGGTATAGATAAGCATGTTAGTTTGAAATATAGGTTTCTAACTGAAGAAACAGCTAACAGTATTTGCTTCTGGGGAATAGAAATGGGAATTGAGGAGGGATGGGGCAACATACTATTTTTCCTTACGAGTGTTTTAGTACTATTTGACTTTTTGAACTATGCACATAGATTACTTTGAAAAAAAACTGTGAAATTAATTTTTAATAGATTTTAAAATAAAGCTTGTGAACGAAAAGAAAAACTTCAGCACATCAACCATCTGTCTCTACAGTCACTAGAGCTCTAGAGCTGTGCTCTAAACTACATCTCCCTACCCTTCCCCCAAACTAAACAAAACCATCAACATTTCAATTAGTTCTAATTCAAGTTCCTACAGGATATAAAAAAATGAAATTGGGCTTCCCTGGTGGCTCAGTGGTTGGGAGTCCGCCTGCCGATGCAGGGGACATGGGTTCAAGCCCTGGTCCGGGAAGATCCCACGTGCCGCGGAGAAGCTAAGCCTGTGCACCACAACTACTGAGCCGGCGTGCCTGGAGTCCATGCTCTGCAACAAGAGAAGCCACCGCAATGAGAGGCCAGTGCACCGCAGCGAAGAGTAGGCCCCACTCGCCACAACTAGATAAAGCCCGTGTGCAGCAAGGAAGACGCAACGCAGCCAAAAATAAATATATAAAATAAATAATTTTTTTTAAATGAAATTACAGTGTTTTAGCCTCATCCCCACCATCCTCCCCCATCTTTCCCACCCTCAATCTGAACTTTTGGGTAGTGGTACGCTGGTAAATGTTTAATACTTGATTCTTTGAGAAAAAAGTCCTGATTTATAGTATTTGCCAATTTCCATGGTGTAAATTCTCCTACTGTGGATGATTTCAAGCCATCACTATGATGTCACTGAATGTGGAACTGGGAAAAGATGCACACGTTAGCTCCAGCAAACTACTGCCTTAGGCCTCTCTAGCCTTATCAGCCTCCCTACCAGACCCAGGTTACAGGAGAGACTTGAATATCCCTTCCAAAAAGCCAGAAGTCCACAAGGGATGTAGCAGCAGTAGAAGTGGATTCTGAAGGGAAGAGAAGTCATTCTGGCTGCAGGGAGGGGGTGGTGAATTTGTCACCTTCCTTTCCCTCCCCACCTCTAGCAGAGTTACCTGCTCATTAGTAATCCCCGGAAGCAGGGTCCCATGCTTGTAGTCTTCCAGCAGCTGCACAGCCTCTCTGAGACGTCTCTGCAGGCAAAGAAAAGGGACATTGAGTGACACACATCCAGGGCTCCGGCAACCCTCTCCTTGAAGGGGTGCATCAGTACTGATCAAGCACTGACTATATTTACAGTGTACAAGGCCTGCCCTCCAGTTCATGGGACTCACGCAAAACATTAAAGAAGGCTACAGCCTAAATGTCCTTTCATAGGGAAATGGGTAAATGGCAGTGGCATAATAATACTATGGAACATTATTCAGCAATATCTCCAAGATATTTTTTTAAGTGAGAAAGCAAATTGCAGAGCTGTATGATGCCGTTTGTTGTACCAAACAAACAAAACACACACACATAGAAAATAATATTTCCTATGAGAGTATTTATGTGAGAAGATGCATCAAAAATGCTCTAGAAGGAGACCCACCAAACTGGTGACAGGGGTTACCTCGGGGTAGGAGGAAAGGGCTCAATCTTGGCAAGCGGTGTAGGGACGAACTTTAATCTTAATTGTAATATTGAATGCTTTTATAAAGAGAACATATTTATGAAATACTTATATAATTTCTTCTGTAGGGAAGAACTTTAATCTTAATTGTAATATTGAATGCTTTTATAAAGAGAACATATTTATGAAATACTTATATAATTTCTTCCCAACATTTAAAAAACACTAGCAGAGATTTACATACTAAAATACATATGGCCACAGTAACTGATGGGGAAAGAAAAAAATAAAAGGATAGAATTGTTATGATTTTTAAAATCTTAAAAGCTAAAGAGACAGCAACAGTGAGAGAAGGCAGCCCTTATCCACCGAAAGACTTGTATAAGAATATTCATAATGACACTCTTCAAACAGCCCCAAACTGCAAACAATTCAAATGTCAGTAATAGATTAGATAAGTAAACTGTGGTATATGCACACAATGAAATATTATACCTCATTAAAAAAAGCAAACTAGTAATATATGTTATAATGTGGATGAATCTTCCCCAGATTGGCACCCCAATATCTCTCATCCCCCATGTTCTTCTAGAACTTTCCCACATGCCCCATCCAGAGGTATAGTCTATGTCCCCTCCCCTTGATCCTGAGCAGGCCTTTATGACTGCCTCAACAATAGAGTATAGCCAAGGTGAGGCTATGTGACCTCTGAGGCTAGGTGTGCAAGGCTAAAAATGCCTTGCACTTCCACCTTGTTCTCTTGGGATGCTCAGCCATCATAGTGTAAGGAAGCCCAAGCAGGCTACTGAGAGACCCATGTGGATAAGAACTGAGGGCCTGGGGCTCCAGTTAAGCCACCAGCTAATGGTCAGCACCAACTTGCCTGCCATGAAAGTGAGCCATCTTGAAATGGACCTTCCCCAGTCAAGCTGCCCTAGCCGAAGCTGCATGGAGCAGAGACAAATCATCCCCTCTAAGCCCTGCCCAAACGAAGATCAGTGAGCAAAAGAATTGCTTTTTGTTGTTTCAAGCCACTAAATTTTGGGGTGACTTGTTACATAATAATAGAAGGCTGATACACATAATGATACGCAAAAGAAGGCAAACACAGAAAAGTATTTATAAAATTCATGGGATTTCCCTGGTGGTCCAGTGGGTAAGACTCCACGCTCCCAGTGCAGGGGGCCAGGGTTCGATCCCTGGTTGGTGAACTAGATCCCACACGCATGCCACAACGCAACTAAAGATCCTGCATGCCGCAACTAAACATGCCACTATGAAGATCCCACGTGCCGCAACTAAGACCCAGAGCAGCCTAAATAAATAAATAAAGTATATATAAAATTCAAAAACAGGCAAAATGCACCTATGGTGGTAGAGGTCATTACAGTGTTACCTTGGGGCAGGGCGGGGTGGTGGTGGTACTGACTTGGAAAGGGCATGAGGGAACCCTCTGGAATAATGGAAATGTTCAATGTCTCGATCTGACTGGTGGTTACATGGTATAAACATATGTCAAAATCCATTAGGCCATACACTTAAGATTTGTGCATTTTCCTGTATGTATGCTATACCTCAAAAAATCAACAATAAACAGTGACAACAGTGAGAGAAGGCAGTCTATGTCAAGGTCAGATGAGGAACCCAGGCAACATGGATGCTCATCGTGGGGGAAGAAACCCAGGGAAGCCACCGTGTTCCCCTTTGACAAAGGGACAAACCTGGCTAAGGACAGGAGTACAGAGAGACCTCAACAGAGGCCCCTGGTCTAAAGGCAGCATGCAGCCCCAGGGAGGGCACCCCGTGGGACATTTGCTGAGCAAGCTGACAGTGGTCACATAGGATGGGAAATGAACAGCCACCTCCTGTACTGAAATAGCAGGACTAACTGCCAGCCCAGACAAGCCAGCCGGGCTGTCAGGGGGCCAGGAAAATTTCTCACTTGGGTGTAGCCTGACTGCCTCTCCCCTTTCAAATATATGCATATCAATCCCTGAATTCCAGAGTCCTTTCCCAGAATCTGTTTGTTTCCAAAGTACAGATAGCTCTGTGTTTTTTGTTTTTGTTTTGCCAGTTATACTAGTAATCCATGCTGTTTAGAGAAAATGGCAGAAAAATTGAAAGCACACAAAAAATTTTTAATCACCTGTAAACATACCACTTGCAAAGTGATGATTTTCCTTCTAGACTTAATACATTTGTTTTTCATGTTGATTGTTGGTTTTAACTTGCTTAAGGTCACACAGAAAGTGAGCGGTTTAGTATTCGAGCCCAGAGTTTAGTCAGACCCTTGCTGTCCCTGCAACCCCCCAAAACTTCCTAGTGATGCGGCCAGCTCCCCACCCCAAGCCTGCTTCCTCCCAGCCTCAGCCTCTGCCCTGACAATGAATGCTCTACTTTCTACTCTGAATGGTGAATGGCCCCGCTTTCTCATTATTTTCCCACTCCAGGGATTCTCCTGAGTTCCTCTAAGAACCTGGCCAGATTCCATCTCATTTGACATGGTCATCAAAGGGAGGCCTCTTGTCTCAGGAGTAAGTTCCAAAGAGCCCTGATCTTGGCATGCACTGAGAAAGAACCAAATCCAAAGTTTCTCAGGACAAGTCTGCGAATGCAGGACTGGGGAAAGCTAGAATGTGCTTTTCTGCCTCTGGGCCTTGCTAAGCCTCAGCTTGGCCCCCCAGGTCAGAGGCTGAGGGGTTGGGGCTCCTAGCGCCTCTGCAGGACAGGCAAGGCCCCAGGCCACTTGTCTTGAAAGGTCCCTGAGGGTTGGCTGTCCTGGGAGCTGGACTCCTCACAGCAGAGAAGGGGATGGGTTTGCTTTAAACCCTCCTCCCACCCCAGTGCATTGTGATGCTTGAGAGGGATGGGGAAAGCTGGGGGTCAATGGCAGGGTGAACTTTGTAGGAGGTCTTTTCAAGCAGGAACAAACAGGCAGCTAGGCCCTCAATGCAAAGATGGTGAGGGGCCCAGCTGGCTTGGAGACTGCAGAAGGCTGCAGGCCCTTCTCTGGAGCCCTGGACTGGGGGAGGCACGGCCCAATGTTGCTTCCCAGACTCCATCACCAGACTGCCAGAAAGTGTCACAGCACGTGTATTTGATGGGGCATGGTCTCTGGAAACTCCCTCAGGAAACAGGCACCTGGGAGGTCTGTTTCAGGGCAGAGAATTCGAACAGAGGTCCCACCCCAAGGCCCTGAGGGGAAGAAGGAAGCAAAAGGGCAGGCATGGAGTGTTAGGGTGGGGGCAGAGAGGCAGGAGACCCTACCGGACAGGAATGGGGATGGTGGGACACAGGAAGGAAAGGCACAAAAAAGAAAGATGAGGAAAGTCATCAGAAGCAAAGCTCATCTTTTTTTGAGGGAAGGGGGTACCCTGTAGCCCATGCCCAGGCTAAATGCAGACTGAGTATAATCCACGCTTGTCTAGGGAGGATGTCAAAATGATTTAAATATTTATTATAATATTTAATATGTTAAAATATATGATGGGAGTGACAGCACCTGGTCAGGATGTGAGGAACACCCAGAAACATTTCACCCCCACTTCTGATAAAGGACCCACCCACTCCCCGGGTGGTACCTGCAGGTTCCCACCTCCTGATCTTGCCCACACTGTTCCCCCCCCCGCACCCATCCCCATCCTCATCCATCCTTCAAGGCTCAGGGCCATCTTCTCCAGGAATCTTCCAGAAATGTTCTCTCCGTCCTCTGAACCGCCAGAGAGCATTTGGTTTGCACCTCTCTGAGGTCCCCGATCACTTACCAGCATGTGCCCATGTTATCTGTCAGAGACTGCAAGGTGCAGGGAGCAAGGGACTGGTTTTAGGTATCTTTGCGGAACTGCAGGACACACCTACCCCAGCCCATCACCAACACAGGGCCACACATAATGAGCATTTAACAAAAATGAATGACTGAGACTGCTGGCGGGGAGAAGTGAAGGGTATGGTCAGGGTTAGGGATCCGGGTTCCAAAGCAGCAGGCCAGAGTCCCTCAATGATGATGCTGGTTTTACAGAATCCTGGGATTCCAAGACGCCATGCATGCCCAGTTCACACAGGATGTGAATGAGAATACCCCTGTGTGTGAATATTACAGAACCACGTAGGCATTCCTTTCTCTGAGACATTTGGGGCCCGAGCAGGAAGGGTATTTTGGCACCCAGGGTCACAGAGTGGGTGGGTGGCACCTAGGAACACCAAGTCCCCTCAATCCCAGCTCTGGGCCATTTCTATGAGACATGAACACAGAAGAGCCTCCTGTCCTCATGACAGTCGGTAACTGTGAGGGGTGGTCTCCCAGAGAAACCACAGCAACGCCTGCATCCTGAAAAGCTGATGCCTACTGGGGCCAGGCACCCTAGATAAGAAAGGGAAGGAGAAATCACACACAGAGAAATTGCAGAGCATGTTTAGCGAAAGGGGTGCAATTGAAACATGGGCATTTCAGGCAGTCAAAAGTTTGGGAGTCTCAAAGCTTGCAGAACTTAAAAAAAAAAAAAAGGGGGGAGGGAGGGAGGGAGGGAGGAAGGAAGGAAGGGGAGTGTCAATGGTCAGGGGAGAATGAATTGGCAGCGGGGG